TAAAGTCTTGCTTCTGATGATAATTTGATGCTGAAGTATTAAAAGATGAATTATTTCTTCATCTGCAAAACGGAAACCAAAGTAAAACTTGAAGAGCTGCTGAACATCCCTCTTTCATGTTGGAGTTTTCATAAAATTGCTACTTTGTTCCCCTAATGTCACAACTTCTTTCTGGTAATATTAAAAACTTTATTCTCATATTATTTCCAGTTAGTTGTTGTCAACAAACTGGAAGGACTGTATCCTTGTAATATCTTGACTTTATTCTTGTATTCATAAAATGCAGTATACATAATATATGTGTATATACCACTCTGAAAAAATGAGTGAAAAGCAGATTGTGCACCTAATTTCTGGAATGAATCCATTTTCAGGCAATATGGACTTAAAGTTTTATCAGGATATTTTGTGGTATTATTATGATAATGATAAAAATGACAATAAGAACCACTTATTTCTTTTTTAAGTAAACCTATGATTCTGACTCCATGACACAGCCATCTTAGTCCCACAAACACAAACGCGCTTTTCTAGGACAACAGTCACATAAAGGAGTTTGATTTTTATCACCAAACTGCTTAATTCTCCCTCCGGAAATGATCTGTATCCAAACTAGCCTGGGGGAAACCTAAACTGACCTGACACTTGGGGTTGAGCTCCATCTTCCTCCGGATGAACAGCTCCACGTGTCGGATGGTGGCTTCGCCCGACACGCAGATGTACGGCCTTTCTAGAGGCTGATGAAACAATGGCAGAGGATCAGCTTTAACTTCAAGATATCCAAGATGAAGATGTCAACTTTAACAGTTAAAAGTGTATCTGAATGACTAAAATATACATTTTCTCAATATTAAAGTAACTTTTCATGTTTGTGAAATTTCTAACGAGCCTTTTTTGCATTTGAATCAAAGGCTACTGTAATCTTCAGAAGAACCACTAGGAGGAGCCAAAGGCTTGTGTGCATCAACACTTCCCCTCATTTTTACAAGTTTTCCATAAAAAGAAACTAAAAAACAAAAAAAATTAATCTTAACAGGTTGTTGACAATGTCTTCAAATAAGGGAAATCCCATTTTTAAATAGTTTGTCAAACAGGAAATGCTCAGAATGACAGAAAAACGAACAAAAATCAAGAAAAACTCATGAATGAGACGCAGAAAAGTTCAACATAAGAGGATACAAAGAGTTATGACGTCATATTAGGATAATTGTAGACAGAAAAAGAAAGGAAGAGTAAGTTTCCACCAAAAACTTTTTCTGGGAAAAACCAGAAATTTCTGAGAATGAAAAGTTGAAAATGTACAACTTTTATAACTCAGAAGCTTCCATATTTTTTTCTACAAAATGTTTTAGAGTAATCTCAAAATTTCTAAGTTTTCTCTAGCAAATTTTAAACTTTTCAAACTGAAATTTTCTGTGTATTTTGGTGGAAAATCTCTCCTTTTTTCCCCTCCTATGTGTAATGAAGAGTTAAGAAGCTGAGAGTGAGATAAAATTAACCTTTTGTTATAAACATTTGTTACAAAGATCTTAAACCTTTACCTTAAAGTCAGAGATCCCATTTTCAGCCCTGAAAACAAAACAGTCAAGAGAAATGTAACTTTGATGTTGTCCATTAACCAGAGAACACACAAGTAACTATAACGTACATTTATTCATTTATTTTTTAAACTTTACTGGATAAAAATTTGCTTTTAAATGCAGAAGTCCATCTACAAAAGCTAAGATACCCCAGCTTCTTCTCCCAGTCTTAAAAAAATATTGTTATGTTTACTGATCTCTTTAAGTTGTTTTAAGGTGTGCCAAAATACAAACAAAAACTATGCAATATGGAGTATCATTGCTGCAAAGTAGCAGACTTAAAATAATTTTAATGCCACATAAAAACGGAAACATACCCGACAAACTCCAGGAGCAGATAAATGTTCAGCTCAGGGGGGATGGTGAACACGGCCCTGGGAAAGTTATCTTTCCTTTTCTTCAGCACAATGGGACCTTGAGGTGAAACAGGCACTGCAAAGATCAAACCACAGTCAGCGATAAAGTGATATACTTCATCTATGTAAAATGTGTTCATAAATCCAGAGAGGCTGGACGTCATCACCTGGTTTTGGCACAGCGAGCCCCCTCTCTTTGTAGAAATTACACATTTTTTCTCTTTCAACTGTTAAAAAAACAACAAAAAAACACAAAATGCTCACAAAAAGCTCAAAGCACCACATCAGAAGCTCAGATGAACACACATTTGGTTTTAGTGTGTTCTCAAACATTCTTACGTTCTTCCAGGAAAGGAACCATTTTATATACAATGTCCTGAAGCTGTCTGTCTGGCCTGCAAAATGTAAAGTAATTAACTCCCAGTCGGCTGCATACCAAACAGAAACACGGGGAGAATAATTAGTCAGCAGCTGTTGCTGGAGGAAAAAAACTCACCTGATGTTGTACAGAGGCTGCGTCTCGTGCACAACGATGCTGCATGTCGGACATCTGTTGCTGGAGAAGAAGTGTTTCACGATGCAGCTTTTGCAAACTTTAAGAAAAAGCAGAAGAAAACTGGGTATAAGACAGTTTTTATTTTACCGTTTGAGTGAGAGTCTTGAACTTATTCAAGATTTATCTGAACATGAGCAGATGGAGAAATGAGTGAACCTTACATTGAATATGCAAGCAGATGCTTGAGGAAAATATATTTTTATGTGGCTTTGAAGATATTGGAAGGTCATATACTCCAAATCTTTTGCCAACACGTCTACTTTCAAACAGCCATCATTTAAGTGCGATATTAATGTACTATACTGCTTGTTGAGTTTAAATACAGAAAGAATTTCGCTCAAAAACTGTTGCACAACTGAAAAATCGTTTGAACATTGTGTAAAAAAAAAAAAATCACACAATCAATGCCCAGCGTAAAGCTAAATGAACAAGTTTGACAAGTTTTAAAATTTCTTCTGTATAGAGATGTGGCTAATTCATAAATATTATGGCTACAGTGCTGAAACCTGAAGCCAAAACATGCCAAAGGTTGAAATTAGTGAGATTCAAGGTTGAGATCGCCCTGTCTAAAATAAAAACTCTTAATAAATATGTAGAAGTTATAATATTTTTATAAAAGCAAGAGTCACTGCAAGAATTATGCGGCAGCTGCTGATTGATCAAAATCACAGATAATTTGCCTACCAAGCCCCAACAATCTGTAATGTGGTTCAGTTGAAAATAAAATCGCCCAAATCGTCTTTTATTGAACTGTCACAAATCAAACTCAGTGGATAGTAATCTAGTCCAGGTTTTAAGGGTCTGTGCATTATAGTTTTTAAATTAGAGCCGATTAAACTCGCTTACGGTAGTTAAAAATTAGGAGCAATTGTAATTTAGTCATTCTCCCGAAGCTAACTTCGGTTTTCTATTATTTCTATGCACACATTTCTGTTTTTTAATGGTTTTACTCATTTTCCAACAAGGTTGTCGTTAGTTTTAATGTGAAATAATCGAGGCTGACCCTCCCTCCGTAGTTTTGTGACTCACATGTGTGCAGGCACTCTGTGATTGTGGTTGCATCGATGAAGAAGCCGCAGCAAACAGCACAGCGGATGTATGGATAAAACTGAGTGAGAGGGAGCTTGGTCTGTGGAAAACAAAAACGTGAATTTCTTTAAAGTCTCACTAAGCAACAGCAGAAAACTGTTAAACATAAATTATATCCGATTTACAGAAAACATTGGCGTTTTACGCACTTCGTCGTCGGTGTCGCTGCCTGAAACGTTGGTGGTTCCGTCATGACTTCTTCGACCAACTGACATCCTCAACGGCTGTGAACCGCACTTCAATACTTTCTCTGGTCTCTTTTACTTGTCAGTAAATTAATAAATAAGTTTGCCCTTTTATTCCGCTTCTGTTAAAATTTTCGTCATGTAAACAACACAGCACTAGTCGGCTAGCCTTAGCCTCCGCACCGTGAACCGCAGAACAAAACAATAACACGCGCCTAACTAGATGCTAATATTAGCAATTTCTTAGCGCAGACAAAAGCGTCAGTCGATTTATATTTCCACAAACTGATATTTTAACGCGCTACAATATAAAAATGACACAATTTAAATACTTTTCTGCTACACTATCTTTCGCCCAACTGAATTTCCCTCGCGCTTAGTTTGCAGCGTGGATAACGTCACCGCTTCCGGTCTGGATTTTTCAGAATAAAAGTGTTATTAGGAGTGACACGGCTCCCTAATAGCTATATTTTATAAATACCTTCATCTGGCAATAAATGAACAGCCAATTTCAGTTTAACGGTTATTTGCAATAAATTGATTACTCATCGTTTTTGGTCTCACTTCCATTTATTCTTTTGGCATGTTGAAGCTCTACTTTGATTCTATAAAACAGTGAAATATATAAATTTTTTAATTTCAGTTTTATGTATGCATCTAATAAATGTCTACACAGATCAGCCAGAGGCAGTGTAATGGATAACATTTTAATTTATCACAATAAAATTATTCACAGAGAAAAATCAACACAAATATATGTTTTAAAATGACATTTCAAAGAACGATTGTATTGTATTTGGTTGTTTTTTGTAGTCATTTCTTCTTACAAAAGTCAGCTTTGTATTTACAGGGTACTATACAACATTGAATATACTGATAATTATGTTTAAGGTGTGCATCCCACCAACAAGACAAGACATCGACTTAAAGAATCTGTTTACCTCTTAATGGTTGAAATTTTTTTAGTTCAGCAATAGCAATTATTATTTTGCTGAGAATAAATTGGTTCTGTCCCATTTTCTTTTGAGGTACCACAAATCCAAGATTCGAGAAATACATAAAAAATGTTTATCATCACTGACACAATCCAGGTTTTATTGATAATACAAACAGTTTAGCTACCACTTTAAAAAGTCACATGGGGACGAGCTTAAACCCATCATGAACGCAATACTAATTTATTCATTTTGAGTTTCTTCTTCCCAGAGTAGTTTTTTTAACAGAGCTTATATTCTTTGTTATTTTGATATAATTAGCTGGTTAGTTTGTAATTGCCATGTTTTGTAAATTAAAAAATCCAGTGTGGAGTTTCTTCTTATTAAAGGGAACCTGTGGAAACCTTCATTTCAGTTTTGAGAGAACATAGACCAAACCAGAGTTCTGATTCTTCGTGTGTTGGTGTATAGTGGGCTTAATTCCCCCACCTCTTTTTTCCCCAAAGAAGAGTCTTCATTTGATTAAAGTCTTGCTAATAAAAAAAAAAGAGAATAGAATAGAAAATACACAATTTTCACAAGATGGAATGTCTATGGAGAGCATTTGACATGAAAACATTTCTCTGAGGCAGAACTGGAGGCAAAAATGATCAATTTCACTACAAAACATCATCTGGGAACATTCACAACTTGATAGCACAATTTCTCACTGATCCAAACCCTTTTAACGTCAGAGGAAGTCACCTATATCCACTAGAAGAATGGATTTTGCTTGAAAATGGATCCTATACAAGTTTCACTGCCATTTTGTGAGTGGCATTTTTTTTTTATGTATGAAAGAGAGTAATCCTGTTCCAAAAAATTTCAACAGCTGAAGGTTTTTCTGTTTTGCCTTTGGTGGTCTAAGAAAAAAAAAACATATTTCCTAAGGTACAGCACCTCTTATTGTTTCACATCTTCATAATTTTAACTACATTCAGATACTTATTTACTTACAATAGCATGGGAAAGAACCTTTATATATACACCTTTCAGTGTTTAGATATCAATTTACTTACACTGTTTAGATATCTTTTTTGGGGGTCACAAAAAAATTACTTCGTAATCCAAAGTAATTTTTATGTCTTTTATTTTGAAAATCTACTTTCTAGTGATACGTTATTTTCCAAGCCACTCACAATATGGCGGGCGCGTTAATGAGTCGTTACTATGGGAGAGAGATATCAATTTAGTCTGTGTACTATGGTAAGCCCGATTGACTCTTTTCTGTGTACGATACACCTTGTCAATGTTTTGTTGGAAAGAAATGTATGGTTTGAACTTCGTCTTATTGAATTCACATAAAATTTTCGCACGTAAAAGACATGAACAACCAGTAAACAACTCAACTTTATACAGTGGGCTCTCGATATTCGCAGAGGTTAGAGAATATAACCGTCCGCTAAGAGCTAAAATACTGAATACTTAGGAACGCTTCTAAAATGCTTGCAACTGCTAATTATAACAATTGAAACTGTATACCTTATAACCTGCAATATGAAACGAAAACTGTTGTAGCACTACCGCAGAAGCCAACACGTCTGTTGTCCTTATCTTCGTGTTTGTGGGTTCAGCCAATCAGCGTTAAGGAAAATGTAGGGAGCTCCTGGATTGGCTGTTTCCCAAACACCAGCCAATAATGTGTCACGTTGCATTGCGCCTAAATTTCTCAGCTTCCAATCAACGAGTACGTTTTCTGCAAATAATTTGGAGGCAAAGTTCTACAGAAAAATCAACAGGGGTCCACTGTATGTCACTTTTTTTTTGCTACCACTGGCCCTGAATACATAGTCTACGTCTTGGTTAGGTCACTTCACTTCTCTGCTGGCACTGAACGGGTTGAAATATAATGCTAAAAACTTATTAGTACATGCTTACATGACTTTAAGGCACTTAGCATTAGCATGAGCCCATGTACTGAGAATGTTAGCATTCAAGTTGAGTTCAAAGTCACAGGAACTTTCTCAGCTAGCTTACTGGAAAGTTTTAATCAATATGGCTGCCTTGTACATAAAAGCAGTGTCTTTTCGTTGCACCACTGTCAGTTTTTGTTTGCACAAAATCCAGGATATTACGGTGTTACCAATCAATCTGGGGGAAAAAGTATATTTCAACTCACAACCTGATGTTGACTTTCAACCAACTTGAGCACAAGATATTCAACATTAAGCATTCTTACTTTGATTTACAAACCCCCACATTAAGATGTTGTTACCATTACCTCATGTCTTTTTTCCAAAAATGTTCTTCTGATCACAACAATGTTTATTTTAAAATCTCTGCAAGAGTAACTCTGCCTCAAAAAAATTTCCATTTTTAGAAAGAAAAAAAAAAAAAAACTAAAACTGTGTCAGAGAGTTCAGCTGAACGGAGAGCATTGCTGTGCATTGCTGGGTAGGGCTCCTTTATCAGACCTCGGAGAGACTCTGTGGCTGCTCAGGCATTTGTTGGGGCTCATTGTGGATTCGACAAACTGACTTGTTACACATCGGACACACACTCCGGATTTCTAACCATTTCAGCAGACATCTAGGGAAAAAGCAGGCAGACGGAAAAAAACATGACTAAGAAAATCATTGCTGTCACAGTTTTTGCTGCAGGACAAACACAGGTCTCAGTTACCATAGTTGTGCTCAAGTTCAAACATGTAAAGAAAATATATTCAAGAGACTTGATGTAATTTGCAGTGGGAAATTCAGCAATAGCCTCAGGACTTTTTGATGTCTGTTAAACTACTTATTGAAGTTTTAAGTATGCAAAAAACTCTGCTTTGCATACTTAGAAACATCATACGAGTTGTACATTGTCATAAAAACATGGTAATCAACAAGTACTACTATTGGACTCACTTCTTATGAAAAGCGTGGGAACACGGACACACTCCAAGCTCATCCCTGCTGCGAAACTCTTCCAAACATACTGCACACGTTTGCTGGTAAAAGAAAATACCAGATCATGAAACCACTTCAGCAAATTAAAAAAAACAAAAAAAAAAAAAACTAATTTATCCTAGAAATCTTCTTGATCATACTACCAAGGATATAAGGCGTAACTCTGAAGCCTATTACTCTTCAAAATGGGAAAGAAAAGTCAACTTGTCATTTTAACTAAGGAAGAGGTCCGGTGATCTTTGTAAAGCTTCAATAAAATAGCCACCAATTACCCCAAATTTGCCCTTATTTACACCAATAGCGGTAATTGAAAAGTTTAGATGTGTGCTTGATGCTACAGCCACTGGAACCAAGCGCTTCTATCCGATAAATGAACATATAAGAACCTGAAGTACTTTAAATGTTCAACCCCAAAATCCGTATTAGCTTGCAACATGTATTCAACTTACACCAAGAAGACTCAGTTTCTTTCCTGCTCCTTTTAGAACTACCTGTTGATGACAAAGGAAATAATTTACTTTACCTAACAGAAAAGCAAATGAAAACAGTCTTGTAGGAATCTTTCAGTAACAAGATGTTACCTCATTGTAGCCATAATGCTCTCTTGTACCTTGTCTTCTTAGTCTGTAAAGAAGTAACAAAATAAAACTCAGAATGCCGTTTTAAAGGTGGTTTGAAGAGCCAAACACAAGCCATGCTTAGGGCAAAGTCTGTAACAAAATAGTTGGTTTATTGGGCTTAATGAAAACAAAATGGCAACATGAGACAGCTGTGAGAATCAGTGAAAAATGTAACAAATGTTGCACTTTTGTTCCCCAATCAAACCAAGTTTATGGGACTATCAGGTGTGAAAACACCCCAAAGTAGAAAAGCAGTAGAGTGGTTTACAGGCCCAGGAAGTCCGGTTTGTTCATGGAGGTGTGAATGCAGAATCAAACTCTGACGCTGACCAAAAAAGCAAATTGTGGTCGACCTGCAACCTCGGTCTTGGTCTGGTTGAAGTGAACTCTGGTGCAGTTTGAATGCATATGTGAATGCCAAGTGGACCGGAGACCGCTTCAAAAGCAGGAAGCAAACTACAGCGCAGGGCATTCTGCGTAAATACAACCAAACAAACATGCAAGTATAGCGCTAGAAATCCTTCAACTGCTAAAATCTGATTTCCATTTTTGTTTATTTTTTGTAAAGAAGAAAATTGTGTTCATGTCAGAGGATTTTGTCATCTTAGGCAAGGAGAAGAACAAATTTTTCAATTAGCTTAGTTCATTTGACACTGTTCAGTGTGAAAGCGAACTGCAACAGCTGAAAATGTTGCAATTTTGGTCCCCAATCGAACCAAATCTCCTTTAATATCAGGAATGAAAATACTCAAGACAGAAAGAAGGATAGAAAGAATATAAGAAGAGATTTTATGTCCTTGGCCTACTTAAATATTGGTGAATAATTATAGCTAGTTGGTTCAGAATTTTATGCAACACGCCCTCTCCATGTAGCTCAAGGAAAACTTACCAGTTTGTCACCTAAAAACATCCCTACTGTGCAAATTATGCGTTTCTTTATCTCTCCTCGCTGATACAAGTCTTGTCATGCTAAATGAATCAGCTGGGGATGCTCAGCGCTTCAAGCAGTCTTGGAATTCGTATGATGTCAAATTCATGTAACAACCTGAGCAGTGAAGTCCCTCACACCAAGCAGGGCTGCACAAAAAACATCAAAACTTGGGATCTTCACTGTAAAATATTTGAGCCGCTTTTAGTTGCGTCTACTAGCTTCTACTCTTTAAGTCAAAGAAATCTGGCAAGTTTTAGATTTTGAACTTAAGTTTGTCAAATATTAGTGAGATGTATTAGCTTTTGATTAATTTTGTCACATCTCCAAGAGTTGAGTGAACTAATAATTTTAAGTGGGTTTTCACACCTGATAGTTTGATAGACTTGGTCCGATTGGGGACCAAAGCTGCAACATTTGTTACTTTTTCAGCTGGTGTGGTTCGCTTTCACACTGCACTATGTAAGTGAACTAAACCTCTTGAAAAACATTTCCCCTCCTCACCTGTGGTGGGGCTGCACCAAGAACCACTGAAGAAAACGACATGTATTTACCCAGAATGCCCTGCGCTATAGTCCACTTCCTGCTTTTGGAGCAGTCTGCTTGGTGTTCACATTAGCATTTGAACCGCTAAATGCAAACTGGTTGAGGACAATGTTTGCGCACAACAAAATTAAATGTTTCTGAGCTAAATTCATTCTGATTTTTAATAAAAATGCATTAATGCAAATTAAATAAAAATTTCTGGTTGACTTTACTTGCTTCATTTTCAAGTCAAACCACCTTCAGATGTTTTACAGTGTACCTGAACAAGTAGCAGCAGAAGATGAGGCTGAGCATGAGGATGAAGAGGCCGATGCCCAGGATGATGATGTAAATATTAAGCGGCAGGTTGAAGAGACTTTCGCTTGTCATCTTGCAGTCAGGGACAAAGTGCTGCAGTTCAAAGTCACACAGACACCCTAAAAATGGGAATCATGGGTAGAGATTATTTACCTTAATAGATTAAATTATATGCCTTTTTAAAATCCCAGCAGATTATTGAGAGAAGTTTGGTTGAGACAGAATTAGCATCATATTTTCAATGGAACAAGTGTTTTTTAGGGATATGGCTGGAACCAAATAGGAAATTATCTTTTTTTATCCAACAAACAAATGTTTACAGTGAAAATGTCATGAATGCGGCAAATCAAAATAAAGTATCTGGGGTAGAGTTGGAAAACTACAATCCAAAGAATCTAAAACTGAAGCATTGACCTTAACTACGCTAGTATCAATCTGATACAGATCCCAACTTAGTATCAATATTCTGGATCGATTCGCCCACCTCCAGTGCAGGTATTTATTTTATAAAATCAAATTAAAGGGTCATTATTATCATGGTTTTGTTTTATAGAAAAATATATATATAAAAATATTGGGGGGGGTTGGCTCCAAAGTCAGAATGTTAATTAATTTTCAGCCATTAATTCAGAAAGTTTTATATATTTTTTGTGATTTCATTGCAAACACAGACACACAACTTTACCAAGTATTCTTGGACTACTTTCTAACACAAATATCTTAGTACACTTAAAGTAAGACAAAGCTTACAAATAACTTTTCAGCTAGATTTAGGAGCTTGTTTCAAGTCAATAATTCCTTAATATTAACAAAAAAGTACTGGTTACACTGGCAGATTATTTCACTTATAATAAGGGGAAATGCTTTGTTAGAAGTAAAATAATCTGCTGGAGGAACTAGTACTTTTTAAAATCAATATCAAGGAATCATTTACTTGAAACAAGCTCCACTATCTTGCTGGGAAGTTACGTTATCCTATTTCAAGGACACCAAGATATTTGACCAATAATACTTGGTAACATTTTGTGTTTTTGCAGTGTTTTATTTTTTCTTGAGTCAGATTTGTCATACATAATCTCTTTTTGGTGCTCTGTATAACAGTCTGTGACTTTTCTATGAGAGTGAATAAAATTTTTACAAATATTCTTCACACTGCAAAACACCTGCATGTCACAGGAATGTGTTCACCTCCATGTTGGGTTCTCAGATATTTTAATTGAGAATAAACTTTTTTCTTAGCCTTGGTGATTAAACGGAGCGGCTTTCCTTCCACACAAACCCCCATCAGTGTAGCGCAATGATGCAATTAGCACATTTTTGCGGTTAGACAGAATAGCTTGTACTCCTGCTCTGCAGCCAGACTTTAATACACAAAGGTCACACCAGTAAAGGCGCATTACAGAGGGCTGGTAAGGCAAGTGTTTGGCTGGACGTTTAGGTTAAAGAGGAGGCAGCTGTAATCTTAGCACTATGTTAGTAAATCATTGATAGTGGAGGACCAAAAGGTAGGCCACTGTGCAAATGCTGCATGCATGCATGAACAGGTCTGAACTTGAACATGGTTAAGGTGAGGTGAGGTAGTTGATCTGGTCTGGAAACATTACAGCTGTTTCTGTAGATTTTTCCTGCTGATGTTCATAGTTTTGTCTGCGCAAAGGAAAAACACAAAATGCGGTGTACATTTTTGTGTTGAGTCTTATAAAACCAACTTAAAAAGGAAATGTAGAGCAACAGTAGGTTATTGGGAGCTTCTATAAAAATTGAGTTCCATGTTTAAAGTCAAGATTTACATGGATAGCTTCTTAAAAAAGATTATGAATTAAAAAGAAAAAACAGTTAAGCATGCAGCTGGCAATTGCAGAAAATCAGAATAATTAAGTGTAGCAGACTGAAAGATTATGATGGCAGCCCCAGAAGGACATAAAGCTATGCTAGATATTTACTTCATCATAAAGGTAGAAAAATTTAGTGAAAATTGATAATGTCCTCAAACTAAGCAAAAAAAAAAATCTACAGATTTCTTGTGGTTACATTTTGGAGGGAAAACCACAATGCTAACGTAGCATTTAATGTCGCATAACATGTCAAACACTCTTCTGTCATATTTTTTCATACTGAATGGCCATCAATTCCAGATTATCTAAGATTACTTCTATCATTGTGGGTGTTGGTAACTTTGAAGCCATGAAAAATTGGGTTAGTTTTGAAAGAAAGAAAAACCAAAAGCCTCCTTTCCAGTTGTACCTTCTTATCGCAACTCTAGTTGAGTTGGTTTGACTTGGTTTTCAATGGGGTGTAATGGAAAATGACCTCGAATCAAGTTTAACCAAGCAGATACTAATGGAAAAGAAAATGTTCAGATTACATGTGAATCCGTAAGCCTGGCAAACTATTAAGTAATCCTGCAAGGCCTTGTGGGTAAAATACTTCCAAAGTCTGTGCTGCCAAAAAGAGTCACTATAGATCAACTTGGCATCATTTAAACCAAAAACAATCAATTTTTTCTCTATTTAACTACAACTATCATATCATGCTCTTCATATTAAAATACGGTGTCCCAAGGTTAGCTACCTTGTTTTGAAATTGTTGGTAATTAATCATGCAAGTATGAAAATTCTCATAATGCCTGTAGCGCATTTTGGAGAGAAAACAACAATGCTAAAATGTAGCATATACTGAAGCACATGTTTCTTTCCAAGCATTTTTTTGTGTAATATGTATCCCTTTTTATTTTTAAGATATCCACAACTTCAGTCTCATCTAAAAAATGCTTTGGCATTTTGAAATCTGGTTAGTTTAGAAGAAAACCACTATCAAAATTTTAGCTTAAAAACATTTAGCATTTAGATTCTGTTGATAAAGATCTGTCTTTAATTGGCTGTCATTGTTACAGAAAAGTTAAATAATAAACGGAAAAAGGCAGACTGGGGTTGATTTATGAGAATCGTCAAGGTTTGCAGGTTCTCAGTGATAGAATATGTTGATATAACTCTTTAACTTGTTAGTGCTTTTTCTGAGACGAAAGCATTTAGCATATTTTGGAGGGAAAAAACAAAGCTAATTGCTAACCATGCGATCTAATATACCAGTTTTGTACACTTTTCACACTAACAATATCTCTATTTAATTGTACAACTTTTAAATGCGTCTGTTAAGCAGTACTATTTAGTTGTTAAACAATTGTAATTAGCTAATTTTTGAGGGACAACAATACTGATAGCATCTTTTGCAATGTACTGTCATACTTTTTCAGTTCATTTAAACATTATTTAAGCAGGAATATCCAAAAATGTAACTTAGCATCTTTGAATGAAATGGGTTGGTTTGAAAGAATAACGAATTAAAATGTTTTCGATTTAAATCTTCGACGGACGTATTTCCGGTCCAGACACGACCAGCATGGCAGCACCGAGTTATCAATTATAAAAGCTCCAGATTGAAAACATATGAATTAGTGAATAAAATCTAAAATTATATTAAATTATTAAATCTAAAAATAGTGGTCAATATAGATTTGGTGTCTCGTGAACATAGACAAGGACAAGTAGTGCCTTTGCCAACAAGATTGCAGGTGACTTTTCTAAACTTTAATTTGATCCTGAAAAAGTTCAAGACACTTCTTCATAATAGACTGCGCTAAAAGCATAAAAGAAGCAAAGGACTGAACATCTTGGATGGGCGGAGTTTGTTTAATTTGCCTTTTGACTCCAAAATCGCTGAAGCTAGCCCTGCTTGTATCGGTTCTCCTTTGTCAAACTTTAATGGGCTGCAATTCAAAGTCAGAGGGACCGCAGTTTGTGTGGCGCAAAATATGAAGAAGGGCTGTGCAGCTGGTGGATCCAAAACACTTACCGTAACACCAGTGAACCGGATGCATCCAATAACGTGTGAATGGTTTACCGGCACTCAGTCGGGAAAAGTTTTGGGTTTCTCAACAAGTTCTCTGGGATTGGTAACTAAAACCAGGTTTACTTAGTTTAAAACACAAAGGAGCCATCCACTAAACACTCCCATCGACTGTCAGATCCGCCTTTGTATCTTCAATGGATGACAAAGAAACCTACGTGGACTCACGGATGCAATCCCAAGTCACTGTTATATCCTTGTGTCACTCTTTTTATCAATGGCTTCAAATTCCTGCTGTGGAGAGACAAAGAAAATCGACACGGATGAATTTCCCTGTTATCCGGGCAGGTTCTCCCGTGGAAAGTCGATGGCAGCGCCTCCATCTGCCTCCCTGCTCCATACGCAGAACCTACGGCGCAGGGTTGGTAACACAGGAAGACAACGGCGCTAATCTTAATTCTGATCCAGGCTCCTCTCACGTTCACTCTCCTCCCTCGTCTCTCTTCTCCACTTCTCATCTGCAGCTCTCGGTTTGTAAACAGATCCCTGCTCATGTGATTCACTGCCTGCATCACAGCTCTGCTTTCGCCGCCCCCTCTTTCCTTCCTTCCTTCCTTCACTCTCTTGCCCTCCTTTTACCCCCTTTGCCCCTCTTGGTTTGTCCCCCTCCTTCCTTTGCAGCTGTAAGCTATTATTGAACAGCAGACGGCAGACAGGCAGGTGTGGAGGCTGAGCAGTAATTAGCCTATCGATCAGGGCAACTCATTGTAGATGACAAAAGATTTAATAAACATATAAGCGAGAATTGGACTTTCATCGTTACTTCTGAAAAATAGAGGGATAAATGAATCAAAAAGAGAGGGAATAACAAAAGAAGTTTATTTCCTACAAGGATTAGTGAACTTACGATTGTCGATTAATTAGATTAAAATTAGTTCCAAACGATTAAAGTTGCAGTAAAAACTGCTGTTGAACTATGTCATAACTGTTTCAGAGCAAGAAGGGTCTTGGTGCTATCAATCACCCCTCAGTGTAGTGCTGCTCATCCCCTCCTCTGCTACCCTGCAGCTAGCAGAGCTTGTCATGGAGGCTAATGGTAGTTAGCATTCATTCCTGATGGCGGATACACGGTTTTGCTGTAACTCTCTTGTTTCTCCGTCATTAGCACATTTAGCAGCGCGTACATGAGCCGACTGACAGTGTTAAGCCCCGCCTCCGGGCTCTGATTGGCTGTTTTTGGTCTGGAGTTGTGCATTTAGCTCAGGGAGGAAGTGAAAGAGATCCATCTGTCTCATAGCAAATTGTTACAACATAGTGATAGCGTCAACAAATACTTTAAAAAATATTTTTTTATAAAAGTTACATACTGCACCTCAGACCTTCTTTAAATTTTGTAGTTTGACCTCTATCCAGCAGAGGACGCCACTGGTCATTCTTAAGCCGAACCATTTATTATCAAACGAAGAAGATTAAGAGGAGAGACAAACGGTCCAAATATGTCCAAGTTATGAAAGAATTATAATAGTTAAAAATAGTCAAAATCGTTTATTAAAAATTGTTAAGCAATTTTTAACAATTGTTAAAATTGTTAGTGTTGGAGCTATTTATTGTTTATATTCTTTATCCATTTGAATTTTGTTAGTTTGTTCTTAAATGTATATTTTTTGTATTATTTACAGAATTTATTTGTAAGTTAATAATTGTTGATTTAATTTATCTTTTGTTTTATTATTTTTCTTATTGATATTTTTTAAGTAAACAGGAAGTGATGCGGGTGGGCCCGCTTTCTATAAATGTAGGGGCCTGGTAAAGGACCAGCAGGCATTTGGGTTAGGGGCCTATGGTTTTTACCAGTGCAAGGAAGCAGAGAAAACAAAAGGACGTTTGAACTCTGTAATTGTTCCTTTTTTTTGTTTTGCAAAGATGTCAAAATAAATCATGAACAACAAGTTACAAGTTGGATCCTGAACCTTCTTTGCCTGCGTTAAAATACTTGACCCCAGTGTCTCAGTGGCTTATTGGAACTTTGTTGGATGTTTGGTTTGACAAACAATCGCCGTTACAGTTAGAAAATATATTTTTTTGTTAAAATATATTCTTTTTAAAAATTCAGCATTATGAATAATTTCGCCCTTCATGTTATTGAAAGATGGTCAACCGTCTTGACGCAAGAGAAAACTCATTTTTAACTCACTAATCGATTACTTTCATCCCTAATTAGAAGCCTATTCATTGAATTTTTGACTGTTATATTTTATATTTGCTTATGTTTTGTTTTAGGAGCTCGAATGGACCACACGGATCAAAACAAACAAATAAACACAATTCAGTGCTAAATTGCTGGATTCAATTATGTGTTTGTTCTCAGGGTCTGATTATGTTTAAATCTGACCTTAAATGTGCAAAAATAGAACACAGTGTTGTTATCTAGAAAAACGTAAAAAAAAAAAAAAAACCTCAGAGTAGAGGCCAGTTTATAAGTGTTGTTTTTATTTAAATTTGATTACTTGCGTAAATTAACAGAAAGCCGTAAGTTTTTTTTTTATGTAGAAATTATCTGGAACATGTGAACCAAGACAAGGCAAAAGTGCAAACAACAGCGCCTCCCTGCGGCCAACTGTGGACCAATGAATTGTGAAATATGTTTCTTATCAACATGTTGGTGAAGCACAGCTGTTTTCTGTCAGTTTAAGAATAGTCTCCAGAATCAGAAAGCTTTTGTCATTCACAGAAAAGTGGACACAAACCTTAAAGAACAGATCCTGCAACAGACACCTTTAGTAGTTTATCTTTACTTGCTCATGGATACAGAAGCTTTTGTTCCAACAATTAATCTGTTTTCTACTTTTTGATAACCTTCTTTCCCTCTAGATTGTAAAAGAAAAAAAAACATAAAAATGGGTAAATATACTAAAATGTGAAAACTTTCTGTTCATACTTCTAACAGGTTTTTTTCTTGTGTTCATGTTAATGTTTGAGAAATGTAAAAATATGGAAATTTCAGTTTTTAAACAACAGAAATGCTTCTGAATGTACCAGGAGATAGGCAATTAAAATACGATACAATTTCAGTTTTTCAACAAGAGAAATGTTGTTTAAAATGTTTTTGAATGTCTCTGGAGAAATACTGTAAAAATACAGAAAATTTCAGTTTCGTATTAATAGAAATTAAAATAAATTAAACATGATGAACATGGTAAAATTCTGTATTAGACTTGATAGGAATGTTCAAACAATTAATGCAAAATTTCCTCATTGTATAGCAGGACATTCTCTTCTTTAATGAAAATTGTACCTACATTGTAGTTAATCATATAACATGTATAAATATTTATATATTCTTAAAATAACACTTGATATGTTGTTTGGTGACGTCCATAAATCGTCAGTTCAACTGTGAGCTGCAGTTGGACAAAAAATAAATATATTTTTGTTTGAGGAATCTGGAAGAGATGACAGTGTGAGACAGCTTTCTGGAAGGAGAAAACTACAAACACAGAGTAGGTCACTTTATTTAGCGTGACAGAAATACTTTCACCTTGATCATTTACCAAATAAAATCCTCTGCTAGCATATTTTTGTATTCTCTGTAGTCTTCTTCTCTGCATCTGATCATCTCATCATGAAAACTTGCTTCAGTCATGATATTATTTGCCTCAGTTTAATGCAGGAGAGTCCATTTTAAAGCAAATTGATAATGGCTGCAAGCTTTTTATTAAAAGTTTATTCTTGCTAACACAAGAAGAGAGCAGTGAATTAAGGCAGATTTGTTTCTTTTTGATAACAATCAGCCTGCTGATTTGATTTTTGGTCATTCTGTAAAAAAAAAAAAACCCAACAACCTTTAAAATGTTTATTAGAAATTACTAATTTTTTTAGGTTAATTTCAAAATTTCTGATTTTTTTCTTGCAAATTTTCAACTTTTGGAGCTCAGAAAATCCTATGTTTTTTCTTGAACGTTTCTGAGTTTAATCTCAAAATTTTCTAGTTTTTATTTTTATTATTATTGTAAGAAATGTTTGACTTTTCAATCTCACACATTTCCGAGGTTTTTCTTGAAAATTTCTGAGATTAATCTCAAAATTTCGGAGATTTTTGGCGGAAATTTACTATTAGTTTTTCTATCAACTGTGACCCTCTGACGCCGTCATAGAAATGTACTAATTCAGTCTGGCCATGAGTATTTTAATGCTCTTATGTTGTGCTTCCAGCAGAGGGCGCTGTAGGACAATGAAACACTCTCTTTAATCTCTGATTGCGGAAGAGGGCGCTATTAGTTCTTTACCAGTAAAGAACTAATAGCCAAATACAAAAGGTATATTTGGACTCCTTTTCCCACTTCTGACCCAAACAACTCTGTCAAGTAAAACCAAGTAAGCTGAGCGCTTTTCTTCAGAATATCCTGTGTGACTACATTGCACAATAACAACCCCCGTACTTTGAGTCAGACAGTTTGTTTCTCCTTTTCCCTGCTGCATACCAAGACGACCATTCAGGCAACAGGACAAGAGCAGTATGAGCCAGCACAACATTTTTTTTTCTGGTGATTACCTCATGGAGGTCAGCCCCCCAGTGTGATGCAATGAGAATATATGTAAATGGACTACTGAGGTCTAACCAGAAAGAACAAGATTTAACCAGCCTGCGCCTGATTTGAAGTTACTCACTTCCAAACTTCGCACAAGTTTGATGATAAATTCCAGCAGTGCACTGAGAGAAATTCCCATTTGTGTGGAGTAGAAGCAGGAAAAGGGCTGGAAAACTTCTGTAATGGCATTTACTTTTACAGGAAATCAGCATTATTGTGCCATAAAGTTGTAAAAACTTTAATTTTAAGTCAAAAAAACGCATCCTTCTATGTTTGTATGCGTTAATTTAACTTTTTATTAGCATCAAACTTGCTTAAAGTATTGCTTAAGACTTTGTATTTATATCCTAATTAGACATTGCATTGACTTACATTCATTTTGGTTGGGTAGTAACTAGTTACATTTCCTTTAATAACTTTTTTTAAAAATAAGATGTACTTTGAATAGAATTGATACTTTTTACTATTACTTGAGTAATTTTATTATGAAGTATTATGAGGGGCTGTTTAGGACAAAAACTATATTTTCTCTCATACATATAATATGATACTTTAATAGTGTATATGTTTAATTTTAGCCTTGTGTGAGTCTGTAGTAGTGTGTGTGAGAAAACATCATTTTTGTCCTAAAAGGGCCTCATGAAGTATTTTTACTCTTACTTGAGTAAAATTTCTGGATTTTCCACCCACTGAATGAAAAACAAACATGTTTTAACCATAAATTCACCAGACACAGATACACACCTGCAGCTTCTGTCACAGTTTCATGAGTTTTTGGTTGAAAGAAACTGATTTGGAAACAATTTATTTTGTCTGATTTAGTTATATTTTTGTTACTTATATAAATTATTATATTTTTTGTTCCTAAGATACCAAAATTTCCACTTAACTTTACCTTTTGGTCTGTCTGATTATGTAATTTTTAAATATTAAATGATTAATAATTTGATCGGTACGTGAATAGACTTTTTGCCAAATACTTTTTACTCTTACTTGAATAATTTATTGCTACTTTGTACTCTTACTTGAGTAAAAACAAGTTGAAGTATTGTCACTCTTACTTGAGTACTATGTTTTTGGCACTTTTCCCACTTCTGCCCAATAGTGCATTAACACTTATCCAAATTTGAACCATTACTGGAACCTTTAACCCTAAGAAAAACATGGTTCCATTAATGTTTTCCTTAGAGTAAATAGGGGCAAATACCAGAAAACATGAACACAATGACATGCAGGTTTGTGGATTTCCATCGTACTGTTTATGCATTAATTTCTTTTCTCTATAAAGTTGTTTATGATAAAAACACTCTGCAATTTCAACCTGCGTGCTTCTTTATTTGCATAACCAATGACACAGTCAAAATCAGTCGGGGCGTGCAGCTGTGTGATCATGCAGGTCATGTAAATGATAAACCACAACAGTTATCGAAGCTGAAGCCTTCTGCAAACCTGTATGAAAATATCTTATCTTGCACTCAATACTCAGAAGGACTTTAGACATGTTTAATCGACTTGATTGATATTTTCCTGAAAAGTGGAGCGCTCTGTTCGTTACTAGAAAAGTCTGTTTTCATTTGTGATGCAGGTAGATGTTCATTTAATTTAATTTATAGCATCTGAGAATCAGAAAATAGACACACACATTGTGGAATTAATTATTACAAGAGATAAAATAAAATATATTCAATCCAGAAATGTTGCAGTATAATTTTTATGGCTCACAGTTTTTTCAGAAAATTTTAATATGACACATTGATAATAAAAAAAAAGGGTTTGTTTTAATTCAGAAATGTTATGTTTGGGTCTACACATCAATGCTGGATTGATATTGACTAGGAGACAATCACTGGCAACTTTTATGAGGACGGAAGGCTAGGAGGTGGCTTTGTTCAAGTGGAAAGTTCACTGGAAAGTTGAGTGGAAGGAAAAAAGCTTTAAGTCTTAGGATGATTTACAAGGAAATGGAGCTGGAGTTCAGTGAGCTACAACACAGATTTATCGACAGTATGGGCTGAACCGCCGCATTGTGTTGAAGAGATTTAAAGAAATGCTTTTGTTAAAGTGTTCTGGCTTCTGTTGTGTTGTGGTATTTGTTGATTCATTGTGGTTTTTCTTAGTTGAGTTGTGGCTTTTTTTGGTTGTGTTGTGGCTTTTCTTGGTTGTGTTGTGGCTTTTCTTAGTTGCATAGTGGTATTTTGTTGTTGCATTGTGGGTTTTTGTTGTTGTAGCTTTTTGTCTTTTGGCTTTTCGTACTTGCTGAATTCAGTGCACAAAGTTACCTTCAGCAGCATCTCTCTTTTGGCTTCATCCAGAAGAGAACCAGCACTGAACCTGCGAGCCGGATCTGTGGCGTTAAAAGCAGCGTACACACAGCCAGTCGCAGCTTCTTCAGTGGCTCTCCAGGAAAGATAATAGGCTTTGAAATCTTGTTTATTAATAACAAAGACTCTGGGATATATAGGCCAACTGGGACGGGCTGGGTGACTGCGTCTGCTCCAAGGACGCGGTCACACCGGTGGTGGCGGAACATGACAGGTGAAACAACAAAATCAAAATCTTGCAGAAAGGGTGTGGATAAAGCTTTTCACTTCTCCTTGGCAGCATCAGTTAAATCTTAAGATGCACTTCCTTGAAGGTTGCACTGCTGACACATGGTGAATTTAGAAACTACAAGCTGATTTTAAGTGGTGTTAGTAATGTGCAAACGTCTTGGAAAACTCCAAAGAAACATAATTGAAAGAGACAATTAAATTGCTTTAAAAGTAGAGAAAATGCATCAATTTTGAAGTTAGGGCTACTCTAAACTAATACAGAATTAAATTTTATTGGATTGAATTCAGACTTCATATTAAAATTTAGAAGATTTGAATTCTTGCTGGAAGTAGAGCTTCGCAATACGGACAAAAAACTGTCACATATTTTTTTCACAGTTTTGATTAATTATTATGGCTTCAGTATAAAAGTCTAGTCTTAGAAAATGTACATAGAGCAATAAAAATTTCTATTTAAAAATACAGAAATCTCAACCTACCAAAAAGTATTTGCATGTACAGCAGATCATATGCACTCAGTAGTTGAGTTTCCTTTGGCATGAATTTCTGCATTAATGGACTCTTGTTGACTCTTATGTCTCTCTTCTCAACAACACTTTATAAATTCACTATGGGCTTCTAGATGAGGCTAGTAAGATAGCTAATTAGTCAAAAGTGATACAATGGTCATATAGGCAGGTATTTATCTCCATAAATGTGTCAGCATATGTAGATTCTGTTCCTCCCGTGCTATTTCCAAAATTAATTTACAAATAAAATGCAAAACCATCTTATTTTTTGGAAAAGACCACTTAGGATTCATTGTGAATCTCCTCTAAATTCTTGTTGTTCCCTCCACTCAACTTTCCATTAATATGCTTGCAAAAAGCACACTGTAAACGGCGAGTCTCTCATTTTCGCGAGTAACACTCCATAAAAACGACGCTCTTTGAAGGTTATCAACAGAATGTGACAGCTGTTGATACACCTGTCTCGTGGCTCATTAAACATTGACCCTAATCACAGTTAATGTATCATACAACTTCCTGAAACTCTATGATCAGCATTGTTTAGGGAGCTTTTTCCCTAATTGTTTTCCTTCCACTTAACTTTCCATGTTGTAATCTCCTTAAGCAATGAAAATTTGTGTTAGAAGATCCTTTTTAATTAGTCTGTAATATTCGTAGCAAAATTATTTTTCAAGCTTAAAGTCACAAACAAGTGATTTAAATATGCTACTATGTAATAAATCTATTATTTTTCTTTCTGTAAATGAATTATTCAAATAATTTAACTGCTTTGATTTGTTTATTATAGATGTTTGTGTCTATGTTTGTGATTAAGTGTAAGACTACATGCTTTTTGGCTTAGTTTTTGGATAGAGGTTGAAAAATGTCATTCACAAATACATATTGCATCTAATTGGGTATGGAAAAAATGCAAATCATGACAAAAAAAATAAGCGTTGACAGTGTTGCTGGGTAAATGGCATTTTGAGAGAAAAAAAAAATCCTTTCCGAGTGACTTTATTGGGTTGTGTACTCTCTCCTCTACACACGAAATCCCAGTATTTTTCCATCAAGAACCGCGCGGCACCACGTGACCGCAGCGCAGGAGGAAGAAAAAAAAGCACGCTGTCATGTTTGCATCCTCTCTGTGCATTAAAACCTCCTAATTTGCAAGAAAATACACAGCACGTCGCTACATGTCCTGCCTATGATGCTGCTGACACTGATATATTTGCAGTCTCCTCTATCTCCGCAGGGCTGTCAGTCACTCAAGAGGAGCCAAAATCTCCTTGAGGTCGCTTTCTAACCCCGGTGATCGCGTAACCACTCCCACTCGTGGCTGGTGGAAAATTACCAGCTTACAAGCAACAGGCAAATGAATGGCGCTTGCGGTTCATCATATCGTTCAGCCCCTCTAGTGTTACCTGAATGTGACAGTCGCTGTCATTGCAGGGTATGTTGCCTTAAAAAGTAGCAGAACATTCACTCCGAAGGGTTATAATCGTAAAAGTGGGCTTGTTTTGCTAATTTTGTGAAGTATGCCTGGGTTGTAATGCATTTTGTTAACTTATTAATGATATAAATAAAGAAAAATACCATTTAAATGAGAGAATATTGAGTTTGATGCGCTGAATCGTGCAGAAGTCCACTCTGCATGGGAGTCTGCCCTCTTTTTCTCTCCGGGCGGAGAAGTCGCGTGGGCGCTTGAGCGAATTGAAATAGACTGACAGTTCATCTAGCCAATGGGACTCCGAGAAGGGAGTCTCCGTCATGGTTTCAGCCAATCAGCGCGCTAGGTGGGCGGAATCTAGGTCCAAACTTTTACGCGGCGCCATCGGCTGAAAACTAAACCGAGATGGAATCTCCCAGTCTGAACCGGTTTCAACCGGTTGTGAGTTAGTTGCTTGAGAGAGGAGAGGAGGCGCAGGCACCACAACCTTTATACCGCCCCGCCGGAAAAATCACAAGAGTAACGAATTAATAAGTGAATCAAGGTTTTACTTTTATTTTTTCGTAAAATGTATCGGAAAGGAAGCTCGCTCGGTTTTCCGTAACTGTAGTTTTGGGAATCTAACATTCTTAGCAGCTAGGCATCATTCGCTGCTGGAGCTGGATTTAGTCAACGCTGAAACAGCAGCAAAAATAGGAAATCTTTCCAAATTAACAGTGAAGTGCCTCACTGTTAACCTTGTAGCTTCTTTTGGCAAACGCCGCTCTTTTGAGTCAGAGCCTTGGACTTTTAGGTAGGTAACCAGGGTTAACTGCAAACCTGCTGTGTTTTTTTAGTATTAAAATGCATATATTTGTAGGGATATTTATATATGCTATTTAAGCGCTACATTATATTGTCACGGTGTTTTTGAAAACAAGTTAATTCGGATGGCACTGCCAGCATCAGTAGGGATAACCAAGCAGCCATTGACTGACCGCTAGCTAGCGTTCGCAACTGTATTAGTTTAAGCTAATGTTAGCAGTCAGGGGGAAAAGTGCTGTAACTTTTTTCATAGGGAGAAATTGTAGCAAAAAGTGCGACAACGCAGATGAATAAGAAACCATGTGCTTTCTGGTTAAACCCTCGCCTCTCCCACTGACTGTAGCAGCATCCACTCCTGCGCGTGATCCGAGCGGATGTTAAGTTTATGTTGCTAGGTGCGCATCGTAATCTCTGCTGTCTGTATCCAAGCAATGCCGCAAATAGTTTCGCATCAAGAATAATGCACACTAACTTCATAGTGGTGATGATACAGCTTGATAGTAACGTGTTTGCATGGGCGTCCTCTGTCTCTGGCATCCTTGGTGGGAGTGGTTGTAGTGAGCAGTGAAAGGACCACATGTGACCAGTTCGTGTAACGACTAGCTTCAAATGGAGCGTCATTTGCGGGCTAATTATAGCACCGTGTGCGCGTTGTTTACACCCGTCTCGGTAGAGATATTGGGAATAACTTCCTACTGAGCTCCATGTCAGATTGAGTGTATATTTCCAGCCTTGGATTTGTGCTGGAGTCTGTTTTTGGACTGAATTCCATTACATGCAGATGTAAACAATATGACGTCGCTTTGTATATCCGGCACGTGGCTCGTTAAAACCTTAATTAAGTGTGACTTTAGCCCTTGCTGTGTTATAAGCGAGCTTGCTTCAAACCTCATGCTAAGGGTCATATAAGAGGAAACTGTGAAACGTCTGGTCTACACAAACTAAGCAAAGTCATTGACTTTTGGTTTTCTGTTGCTTGCTCAACTTTGCTAATCAATGTTGGCCTATTTTACCTTTTAATAGTCAAATTTTGCAGCCTATCACTTGTTTAATTTACATCTTCAGTCGTTTTGGTGTTTAGTCCAGTCTGGGTATGATATCAAGAGTTATTATTCTGCTTAATAACCCAGAATAAGCATAGGCGGGTGAATGAAATTTCTTCATCCATTTGTCTTATTTCCTCCAAAACATTGTCAGACATATGACACCACAAGTTCAATTTCTCAAAGTGACAGCTCTCTAAATGATGTTTGTGACACGGTCAGCTGTTTGGACTCATTTCCAAACGCATGGTTCACATGACTTTGCCCACTGACTGTGCTCTGTGCATTCATGACCCCCTCCCTGTCCTTGTTACAGAACTCTATGCCAGCAGTTATGACAATGTTGGCAGACCATGCAGCACAACAGCTGCTGGACTTCAACCAGAAATTGGATATCAACTTGCTGGATAATGTTGTGAACTGCCTATATCATGGCGTGGGACCTCAGGTACGTTGTTGGCTTCATTAACCCAAACAGGACCCAGAATAATCGACAATCTAATCTCTCTTACCATATTCTCCTCTTTAAAATAAACTGTTTTGTTGGGATGAACCTTGAGAAGTTCCCTTCGTTTTTGTATCACAGCAAAGAATGGCGCAGGAAGTGTTGACACACTTAAAAGAGCATCCAGATGCGTGGACAAGAGTGGACACCATCCTGGAGTTCTCGCAAAACATGAACACCAAAGTAAGCTCGCCATAATTCAGAAAGTGCAGCTGGAAATGCATTTAAGTTTGCTTTGAGGAAGATTTCTATTTGAACAAAAAGCATATTAGAAGATCTTTATCATGTATTGATAAAGTACTATACCTTGTTAGCCATTTAGCTATGCACACATGGCTTATTTAGAAAGTTTACCCATGCCCTAACTTGCACAAGTTACTCAAATGAAAGAAAAAAAAAAAGAGAACCTGAACCACCCAGATAAACATTTGAAGCACATAAAAGCCAGCAGCATTTCTCTCATTTACAAATCTGGCACAGTTTTTTAAACTTCATCCAATTCATGAGTAGAATTAAACAAATGTCATTTTAGTTTACGGCTTTGGGCACTCAGAGAACTGAATCCATCGACTTTCATTTTGTTTTTTAACCCTAAGAGAGCCAGAATTGCAAAAGTGAAACTGACTCCAACTTTGAAAACATTTCAAGTGCAGCTTCCTCAAAGTAATATGAACATATGCATTGTTTAAATGTGTTTTGTTTTTGTTTCTGTAAGATTTCTTTTAATGAGTCGCTGATGTCTGAGTTGACATGTTAATAGTACTTTTCTAGGTTTAAATATGTAATTTGCCAAATGAGTAGAAGAAGAGAGGAAGCCAAAGGTAAACACCTTCAAACATTTGGCTTTTGGTCTGGAATTAAAGTAATTGTAATATATATTTAATGTAATACATTCAGGTTGTGACTATTTGATATTAATCACAATGTTCCATTATGTTTATGGCTTGTAATAGGAAGAAAGAGGGTGTGTCATCCCGTGCATCTTGACACAGCTAGGCTTTGACGGCAGGCCTCCAAAAGGTCTACCCTTTTTTAAATTACTTTTGACTGAATTCTGTTCATCCATTTTTTTTCCTGCATCTGTTTCACTGGACAGAGGGGGAGTGCAGGCTGCAGTCAGTAGGATCCATTGTGCTGAGACAATTTTGAAATGATTTAATTTCAGCTGTAGGGATCACGGCTCTGTTCCTGACTACGCTCTCTTCTTTACTTCTCATCTTTCCTTTTATTCTCCTTTCTTTTGTTTACCTCAATTAAAAAAATGGACAGGATCTTTTATGGTAGCAAATGTTAGACAGGATTTGGGAGTTTCTCTTCTTGCCTCCTGTGCTGGTTTTGCACTTTCGGAGTTAAAGGTGAAATAAAAACGCATCAATCCATGTGTTCTGCCATTCACTTGACACCTGTGAGTGTTGCACTGTCACTGTGCCTGTAAGGAGATTTCACCTTTAATCTCTCAGCATCTATTGTCTGTAGCACTTTGGTGATCCTGCTTTAATAACATCCTATTCTACAAGTCATTCCTTTATTTTTTTCCCCCCTCTAAAATTCATGATCTCTTGAACTGATGATCCCTACCGTTGAAACAGTCAACTCAAGAAACAGTGATGTCTCTGAAGTAAATGTTTTATTTGCTTTTTTTGTAGAACTTAACCTGCGGCTGGTCTCGCTGTTCTTTATGACGCACCAGATAAAGAAACATAGTTTGGGTTATAAATGATAAGATGAAGTAACAATTCAACACATTTAAGTTGGAAAAAAGGCCTGATCTTGGATTGGGTATCAAAAACATTGCATTGTTTGGAGCTAATTTTCAAATTAGGATTTTTATGCTGGGATTAGTGGATAATACTTTCTTAAATAAAAATGCGTTAGGCTTTATTCTCCTATTTAGGTCTGGTTTAGCTCACACCTCAACCTTTTAACTGAATCTGAGGACAGGCACATCTCTATGCAATAGTAACCTCTTTGTTAAAGTGTACAAGGTTAGGGGTGATTAATGCGCTAAAAAATTTAAGTGTTGGTTTCTATAGAGATTAATGGGTGTAAAATGGTGCCACTCTGTAGAGGAATCACTTCAGTCATGCCCATGTATATTTATTTAATTTAACATAGGGTATGTATTGGTATCATTGCAATGGTAACGGATTTCCCTCAAATTTTTTAGTTTTAACATTGTTAGCTGAATTACAGTGTTCACAGTTCAGTTTTCACTGATTCTTTTTTTTCTGCAAATTGTTCTTGGAAAACACTCCTATTTCGCACATTTTGTTTGTAAAGCAAATATGAAATAATCCAAAGAAAATCCAGATTGGGAAGCTGAAATACAGAGGCGCTTCGCTACTCGACACCAGCCAATCCAGGAGCGGCATTTATTTACTTCGTCTCTGATTGACTGTAGATAAGGAAGGTTCTGCTGTAGGACCAAGATGCCTTTCACTATGCGTATTACTGCTTATTAAAGTTTAATTTGGTGATTTCAACTATAAAAACAGGCAGATTTAAGCATTTTTAGATGCTTTTAGAATCTGAAGTATAAATACTTAAAGAAAATCTGCAAGTTTGCAGATTTTGCACCTGTGACCTCTAACCCCCCCAATACCACTTAATAATATTTTCTGCATTCATTAATACATTAATGAAATATTTCAGTCAGGCCACTATTGTGCGGTTAAACACCTGTTTTTTTATGTCATGAACTGGTTTTGTGTTCCTGCCTCAGTTTGTCAGCTTCGATGTTGTTTTTTTAATACCATTTCACCTTCCTGCTATGATCCGGTAAAACTAGATTCACTTCCGTCTTCTTTTATGACTACATGTAATACAAAGCAAAAACTTATATTGATAACAAATTTTTTTATTGCTGTGGCATCGATGGACAAAGAAACAATTGGAAGGACAAGGATTCAGTCAGAAGTTATGTAAACTGTTACAGTAAGATTACCATTTTACCACTTTAAAATGTTGCATATTGCCCAGGTGGGATAGGATTAAGCAATCGCGATAAACAATAATATTGTTTTTTCGAGTGCATTTTCAAGTAATATAATGATTATGGCGTAATAATGCAAGAACACATTGTCAAAGATCAATAAACTTTAAATTCTGATGAGCATTTAACACTGGAACTGGACATTTTAAATATCAGAAACAACAAATGAAATGAATTTTGATGTTTCTCTAAATACAATTTTTCTTAAAAAGAAACAAAACATTTTAATCAAACCAAAGCACCAGACTTTTGTGATCCAGTTTTTGGTAGGAATAAAGGAAAGAGCAAAACACTAAGTCATGCACATGAAAATTATTAAGCTCGTTTTAATTTAGCATGATATTAATTGATTTACTGCGACAGGCCAATGCACCATGCCAAAGTAAAGGGGTCAGGTTATGAGCAAAATAAGAAAAAGAAAAGCAACGCTCATTTTGAAGACATACAATTAGGACTGGACAATAAATAAATAACGATATATGATCAGTATCGATACATATTCAATATATAGAATATTCACTAAACTCCAATCCAGAACTGCACAGCATTATGGGAGATGTAGTCAGAGGAAGCTGTTTAGTTGCTCAACTTCTCAAGGCCAGTTAAGTAAAGTTGGTGACATCAACTAACTCACTCATTCTTTGGTTACCTAGCAACAACCTGTTGAGTAACTTGCGCAGCAGCAGTTTCAGGTTTCGCCAAGGTGCCTCATAACTAACAAACAACGGCGTCGAGTCAAAACTGTGGCTAAAACAGGAAAGTTTACGCCACCAGTTTGGGAATATTTCAGATACTTAAAACAAAAACCTAATCAATAATTACTGATGTCGACTGATATGAAATGCTTATATCGTGATGTGTTTTTCATCCATGTCGTCCAGCCATAGGTACTTATTACTTTCTTCTTTTCATTCTGTAAGTAAAACTGAACATTTGTGAGGGGAATGCATTTGTCGAGCTAAAAATACTACAATTTAAAGCTCATATTAGCCTACAATTTAGAGTTACATCAACCCCTTAGAAAACTTTGTGAAACTATAAGAAAAAGAATTGTAAATTTACACAACTACAGAGAAGAACCTTGTCAAACTCTGATGCAGACCAAAAACGCAAACTCTGGTCCACCTACAAAGCTAGATCTAACTTCGATTGAAGTGAACTCTGGCGCAGTTTTAAGGCGTCTGTGAACGCAAAGCGGACCAGAAAGTGGACTACAGTGAAAGGTATTCTGGGTAAATACAACCAAAACAAATGCACTAATCTAGCGGTAGCGGTAGAAATGGCTTTTTGCAAAAGACAAAAGAGAATTTCTACAACCATTGAAATCTGACGGTGCTCCATTTTTGGTTACCCTTCGAGAAGGAAGTTGCATTCAGTGTCTTCTTCAGAAATTTGCGTGCCGTTTCTTTTGGTACTTCTTGGTGAACAGGTTTTTCAAAGATTTTGTTTGACACAGTGCAGCGTGGAAGCAAACTGAAAACGTAATCAATGTCACTACTTTGGTCACCAATCAAACCAAGTCTAGTGGAAAACTAACCAAGAAAGAAGGCCCTGCTACATTTCTACAACAAGAAAGGGGGAAAGTTATCTATCCAGAAAGACTTCATCTTACATGTGTAATGTATAAGTCACACGAAATCCACAAATTCTGACGTGCAGATCCAGTTCTTGTTTTTAGGAATTATGCCAGGTGTTATAAAGTCACCCTGCCTAATAAAAGTTTTCATCTAATGCGTGAATGTGTAGATTCTTGAGTGCTTATTTATACGAAAGTATAGTCCGTCATAGTCCTGTCACGATTACAAATTTGCCGAACGATAAATTGTCCCAAAAGTTCTTGCAATAAACAATAATACTGTTGTTTTGGACCGTTTTCAAGTAATTTAATGGTATGAATGTATGTGAGTATCTTTTATCTAACCAGGAAAAACAACTAATTGAGATAAAAAAATATCTCTTTTCCAAGAGTAAACTGACCAAGACGGCAGCATAAAACGTACAACAAATCCAAAATATAACTGTAACTGCATAATAAAGCTGCAACACATTCTCAAAAATCAATAAACTTTAAATTCTAATGAACATTTAACACTGGAACTGCAAAACATTTTAAATATAAAAAATACACAAAACAACAGAAACAAGAAATAAAATAAATTATGAAGCGTTTGTAAACAAAATTATCCCTCAAAGAAAGGGCTAGTTGAGACCAAAATACCAAACTGAAAACTTTTACCATCCAGTTTTTGCATGATTTATTAATCATGCAAATGGAAATTATTGAGTTTGTTTGAGTTTATAATGTGATTAATTCATTTATTGCTTATTAACAGGCCTAGTCTCTCTTCTTGATTGATTAAGTAACAACTTTCATCACTTTCTCCTTTATGCAGTTTTAAAAGCTGTGGTTTCCTGTTCCTGAGCTATTTATGTCTTTTTAGCCTCAGTTACTTTAAAAAATGAATTTTGAAATGATACGCTGTGAAATATCCAGTTGCAAGTTCTTGATTCCCAACCTGAGATGGCCTTTTGTAGCATTTTTGACCTCAATCTGAGGCGTCTGCGCTCTGCATGGTTAATAGGTCGGCATATGTTTTTGGTGCCTTTTGCTAACTGGTGCGATGCTGGAAGTAACAGCAGGACATCTGCAGTGTTTTCAGCGTAACGCTCTGTGTAGAGACTTTCATAGGCAAGGTGCAAAATCTGCATGAAATGGATCAGTCCAATCAATTTTAGAAATCCAGGCCACAACAAACTGTTTTTGGTTTGTATTAAGGTGACACAGTTCTTGTTCTCAAGTGCTATTCAAGTTTTTTTTCTTCCTCGCTAATGCTGCTTCCTTGTTGCATTTTTACAGTACTATGCTCTTCAGATACTGGAAACAGTTATCAAAACAAGATGGAAGATTCTGCCCCGAAATCAATGTGAAGGTAAGAGTTCATTCTGTGGTGGATGTCAGAGTACTCTGCGTTTAATGTGGGTTTAAATGTTGTGACGTGTGGTTGCCATGTTGAAGAGTATTCCCCTGCTAAGCATGCTGGACTGTTTTCTGCTCCACTGGCTTGCACTCACTTTTGGGACCAGCTAGAAGAGAAAGCAACTAAAACTAAAACACTCCAACATTTTTTTTTTTTTAAATTCGCTTAGATTTGTTGGCATCTCTTAAAAGAAGTAGATGAATATTGTCACTATTTAAATGACATGAAATGGTAGCACCCTGCCTTGGAGTTTTTATGTCAGTTTGTTGGGATCTGATAGTTCTGATCTGCTGCTTTGCCCTCTTGGTGTCATAGGGAGTGATGAAGGGGTAGTTTGACGCAGTTACCCTCTCCACTGTTTCCTGTAGAGTCCTATGCAGTTTTTGGGAAATGTTCTGGTCACAAGAGAGACAGACTTTTCCAGAAATCTCAATGTTCATTTTTGCCTTGATGTGTAGCTGAGGTAGATTTTTAGTAGAAGTAATATTAGGGCCAGGCTAAGAGATTTATTTATTTTTAATAGCAAGCGTAGGCATGATATTATGAGCATAAAGATGCAATATTGCCAGAAGAGAGTTGGTAGATTAATAGAAAAAGTTGTTTAATTAGAAAAAAAAAATAATTTAGAGAATTTTTAAGATCTAATGTGAGCAGTTTGGCAAACCGTGTGGTTCTTTCTTCAAAATAGACTACTTTATGATCGTTTGATAATAATGTTATGATGTTAAAAAAAATCTGTAATTTTCTTATTTGTAAAATAAGTGACAAAGTATAACTATTGCGACTTCATTCTGGTCATATTATGACTGTATTCTCATATTATTTCAACTTTACTCTGGTAATGCTTCAATTTATTCTCATATTACGAATTCATGTTGGTATTACTGTGACTATTATCGCACAACTTTGTTCTGATAACATCACAACTTTATTTTTATTGTATTAGGTCTTTCTTGTAGTAACATTACGACGATTAACGTACAACTTCATTCTTGTGTTATTACAACTTTAATCTGGTAACAAAAACTTTATTCTCGCATTATTATGACTTTATTCTGGTAATATTACAACAAATTACTTGCAACTTCATTATTACAACTTTAATCAGGTAAAGATGATGTTATTCTTGCATTATGACTTTGGGATTATTACAACTTTATTTAGATATTATTACAACTTCCTTTTCATATTACTGTTCTTGCGACTTTATTCTTGCATTGTTGCGACTTCAGTCTCGTAATTAGATTTTTATCTTAGCCTGGCCCTAATGCTCTGTCATAGATTTTTAAAGATGCATAACGTCAGATGATGCCTTGTCTGTGCATTGTATTGGTGCAATAATTTTATCATGCTAATGAAAAGCAACATAAATGGTTAAGTGTCCAGATTTTAATTTCTGCCTAATTGCCCATCAGCTTGCTTTTTAACACCAACAGCTTCAAAAATAAAAAATTGCCCTCAATTTTATTGTTTTGAAGAGAGAAACAAAAATAATGAAAATGGAACAAAATTGGTAATCAATGTCAAATCAATTGATTCTGCCTCCCTCCATTCTTCTATAAGTTTACTAAAAATTCATTTTTCCCATTGACCTAAGACTTACCTGCTTCTGACCGTAGATGCCTGAATTTTGTTCAAGTGGCAAACCCAGTGCAGGGCGACCGGCAAGTATGTCTTTTCCCCCTTGTGTCAGAGTATTGCCTCGTTTTCGGCTCCTCTCACCACACCCCAGCACATCATTTCCAGCACAGCCAAATGCGAGGGCGCTGAAACTTACCGTTTCTTTCCTCTGTGTTTTTTCTTTTTTTAAACATGCCCATCACATTGATAGTTTTGCATGTAAAAAAAAAGAAAAACACAAAGGAAATGTAACTTCCACTGAACTGACCTGCAGCAGTTCAGTGGTAGTTGCAGTAAACGTTCGTGGTTTACAATTGGCTTTGCAACAGTATGAAAGTGGAGGGCCACACCTTTTTTTTTAAAGTGTAAAAATGTGGGATAAGTTAGGTAGTTAAGTTAGCTTGATGCCAGCAGATTGTTTGAGGGTTATTGTGTAATTTGCTTCAGGCAGCTCGTCATGTCAGGATATGTTGACATAAATGTTGTTGTTGGCGATGCTAACGCTCTCCTTCTGATGCCTTTGTGTATTTGCCAGGTATAAAAAAGTATGTTGTTGGGCTCATTATTAAGACTTCGTCGGATGCTTCAAGTGTAGAGGTGAGTGAATCTTTAGATGTTTACGTTGTGCTGTAGTCTAGGAAGTTAGCCGTTTTCTGTTTTGTGCCTTTGACATCTCCACATTTTACAACATTATTACAACATTTCAGTTATATTTATCTGGATTGTACATGACAGATCAACAAAAAATAGACCATCACATGCTTTTTCAGCAGTTTTTAAAAAACTGTTGTTTTTAGTATTTGCACAAAACCTTTCTTTGCTTCAATACCTTCCAATAAAGTTTAGTGCCAATGTTTGCCTCCAGAGATCACCTGACTGGAAAATTGTAAACCTGTGTGTAACTTAGCACAGCAGGTCAGGGGGGAAAAAGTTGTTCAGAAGTTAAACGTTAAGAGCAGATTTAGCTTATAAAACGCCTCCACCATCTTCCCAAAGATGGTGGAATATCTGAAAACCTGCAAAGGCGAGGCCATCCAGCTGAACTGACAGGCCAGACAAGGAGAACGTTAATCAAATTCAAAATCGATTCAGAAATGCTTTATTGATGCCAAAGGCAAATTAAATAGAAAAGCAGACAAGAAACTCATGGCCAAAGTCTGTTGGGAGCAAAGAAACCAATCGTAAACTTACAGCCAGAATTATAATGGAACGGTTTGGATTACAGCATATTAATGTGTTCCAGTGGCCTAATTAAAGCCCAGACCTACACTCTTAATCCTATCTGTTTGACAATGAAAAATGTGACAAATTTCTGTTTCTAGATGTGCAAAACTAGTTTGAATGAAAGTTTAAAGGTAGGGCTGAATCGATTAATCATGATTAATAGATTATTGAAATAATCGTCAGCTTATTTAGTCATTGATTAATCGCTAACTGGAGTATACAGACTCAAAAAGATGCGATTCGCTAAAATAACAACACACCCAGACCAGTAATTAAGCTAAAAATACAAAAAATACATACATTTTCCATTTAAAACTGAAAAACAACTTTAGTCTGTAAAATATGTTCTAACCAGAACTTCTCAAATGGCAATTTTAGCTTCAACTGGTTCAAATTCTGCAAAAAAATACCTTTAATTATGTAATTATTAAACTGTTAATCCAAAAATGCAATCGATAATTAAAGCAGAAAGGGTTGAGCTTTTCATATGTTTTTATACTGTTTTACTTGCATCATTTGCTATAAATCTTTAATCCTTCACTGAAGGCAATAAAATGTTTTACTGTCTTATTTAAGAAAGAACTTGAATTTGTTTATTTGCATGTTTTAATTTATTTCTACTCTAATATTTATTAGTAAAAGGCTTAAATTTAAAAATTACAGAATGTGCCAGTTTTTCCCCCCAAATCAAATAATTATGACAATTATTCGATTAATCGTCACAATAATCAGTTACTAAATTAATTTAGTTGCAGCTAGACCTGCCGCAATAAGCAATAAATCAATTTATCGATCAATTGCATTTACAAATCGAAAGAAGCTCAATCGATTTATAGTTTTTCTCTTTTTGTAAACTTTACTATTCTATTAACTTTACTGAACCTTAAAATAAATCAGATGTTTCTGATGTCATAAAGTCGACTCCTGCACCTTTTGATAGGACAGTATATCTTTAAGATAACATAATAATAATAATAATAATAATAATAATGGAGTTCTGTGACGTCAAACTGGAAGCTTTTTATGCATGTTGGTATTTAACTTACTGAAAAACAAGAAGGAAACCAGGTTTTCAGTTTAATGTGTCGACTTTAAGTTGTAATTATTTTTAAGTATTATTTTGTGTTTGTGTTGCTAGACAACCTGAACTGGATGGACTTTTAGTTTGGTGTGGATACTAATCTAAATAATTGTTTCCACATTTGCTCTTCTCTCTCTCTCTCTTTTTTTTTTATACATTTCTTTTTTTTACATGATTTTCTTTTTTTACTCTTCCCTTTTCTTCTTTTTTGCTATTTGTCTAGGAAATGTTCTCTATTTTAAAGAACTTTTGGCGGAAGATGACTTTAAAGGACTGGAAGTGTTTTGTGTTTGTAAAATTACAATTTCTGTGAAATTTATCTGGACCAACAAAAAGAGGAGCATAACATGATTTTCATCAATTTTTCTTTACAAACTTTTTTTTTTTTTTTTTTTTTTTTTTTTAAATTTAATTAAATTTTTTTTTTTTTTTTTTCACCCGAAAAAA